TCTATGACTTTACTATAATCTTTACTTATTATCGCTGTACAATTGCGCCTACTGGACCTGTGATGGTTTGTGGGGGACCCTCTCCCCCTAATTCCCACAGAGGCATGCTGTTTTTTGCCAAGAATTGGGGTAATATGATAGCTACATGAGCAGATGCATTGTTGTGGTGGCAAAACCAGTCCCCCATCTCCCACAAATCAGGCAGCAATCTTTTCAGAACCTGTACGTGGAAAACTTAATTAATAGTCTGACCTAGTGGAACAAACTCCCAATGTCGACATTTTTGTCCTTTCGAGAAGCTGACGGGACATCCAGAATGAGCTTTGTCACCCATCAACATTTCACGTTTTTTGAAATGAGAAAACCACTCATACGCTTCAGTATAGCATTGTCCTTGGAAGCTGTGCTTAACATCACAACAGTTTCTGCAGCAATTTTCCCAAGCAGGAAACTAAATTTCACAGTCACACTCTGTTCTCTTAAATTGGCCATCACAAAACAAGGTTTGAGTGAGACTACTTTTACAAAAAAATTCACTGTGACCAGAGAGAACCTTCCCAGGCAAAGCCACTGGGTGCACTACTCAGAGCTAGTTGCTCAATGCTCACCTGGCAGAGTAAAATGCATACTATGAAGGCTATGCTCAGGCCAGCGCAACACTGGTTTTTCTGGGGTATCCCCTTGTATATAAATAAAGTTAAAATTTTAGAGAGAGAAAAGGTAACAACCTTAAAAATGCTCCAGATTCCGTACCCATCAGATCTAAACATTGGTCTGAGTGGCTATAAAAGGAGGAAACATAAAACAGAAATGAACTAGGATTCTTTTCTAGTTCCAACAGAAAACTTGTGGGTTCAAAGGGCAGTGTGTTTATTTTAAAGGAAAAGTAACAATTTAGAAAATCAAAGTGAAAAAGAGTTGTACAACTTTAAGAATGTAATCATTGTCACTAAATTGCAGCTACAAACGACTGTTCTGCTATATATACTCTTAGCAATAAAAATAACTTTTTAATTGAAGAGTTAACATGTGCCAATGAATGCTAAATTAATAAGCAGAAGTTTAAAGTAAAGCAGGAATGTGCATATACTTAAAATATCTCCCCAATATATGTTGTTTTTTTTCAATATATGTATTATTTACAAAGAGAAAAGCTAAAAAAAACTCCACCTTAACCAAGGGGTCAAATTAGCATAATTAGAAAAAAGACATAGAGCTCTAAGAAGATGTGTTGAAAAGGACACACAACCTCTGCAACCTTAACCAAGGGGTCAAATTAGCATAATTAGAAAAAAGACATAGAGCTCTAAGAAGATGTGTTGAAAAGGACACACAACCTCTGCAGTATAATTTCAAATATGCATGATTTCTAATCTAATCATGAAAAAACCATGAGACAAACCCCAACTGATTTATACTTATAAGCACTCTTTTAAAATGTGCAAATTATAAAAGATAAGACTGAGAACTGATACACAGTGATGGAAACTAAGGGGACATGACAAATAAAGGCAATATAGGGTCCTAGACTAGATCCTGAAACACAAAAGGGTATTGGGGTTTTTTATTTCCTTTACCGGCCTTTTTTTTAAAATAGTGTTACACCAACATTAATTTCTTAATTTCAGTAATTATACTAAAATGATAGCATTTGAAGAAATAAATGAGAGACATGGAAACACTATGTACTGGTCTTGTAACTTCTATAAATCTAAAATTCTTTCCAAATAGTGTTTTTAAAATTCCTGCATGGGAAGAAGGTAAAAAGAAACACAGGAATGATCTGGGAAGCAAAGATATGGATACAGATATAGACATAGGTGGGCACTTAAGTAAATACATTAATTCATAAAAATAGAGGTATTGGCCTAGGTACATATATTTATATGGCAATGCATTGATGAAGTAGGCAGACTTTGGGCCTCTGCTCAGGCACTTCCTCAACACAAGAACACTTTGTTCTAATGACCTGGCATTCTGTGATGCTCACCCTCCCGATAAGATCGCTGCAGACATAACGGGTGCATAAGCAAATGTGGTGAAGAAAGCAGATGGTGCCTGGCTATCAAAAGATATAGCATCTGGGGTCTTAAAGGCTTGAAATTAATCAAGTGGCCTTCTAGCAGAGAAGCAACAAGCCCACATGGAAGAAGCATACCAGCCAGTGCAATCATGAGATGTCAACAGAATCAGCTAACAGGCACCAGAAGACCCAAAACGAACAAACAAACAAAAAACATTTTGTTGAGAAGAGGGAGGTCAGAGCAGAGAGCCAAAACCCATTTGTAGACAATAGGACATCCCCTCCAGAAGTGTCACAAGGAAGGGATGAGTCAACCAGGGTGCAGAATAGCATGGATGAAACACACAATATTCCTCTGGTTCTTTGAGGCTTCCTCACCCACCCACCTCTACTATCATGACCCCAGTCCTGCCTTTCACATAAACCCCTCAGGAACAGAATTGGGGGTAGTGATACCAGGAGGATAAGGAGAAGGGGCAGGGGGAGTAAAGAGGAACCGATCACAATGATCGATGCATAATCCCCACACTCACACCCAGGGGGATGAACAACAGAAACGTGAGTGAAGGGAGACAGGGGTCAGTGTAAGATTATGAGGACAATAATAATTTATAAGTTATCAAGGTGGGAGGAGGGGAAGGAGGAAAAAAAGAGGAGCTGATACCAAGGGCTCAAATAGAAAGTAAATTATTTATAAAACGATAATGCAACTTATGTACAAATTTGCTTGAAACAATTGATGTATGGAATGTTATAAGAGCCCCCAATAAAATTGTTAAAAAGGGGGGAAAAAACTTCCTGCATGATAGCGGCAACAGCTAATATGTGTGTGTGATATATGCCTACACACACTGTGTATATGTACATATCATATATATATATATATACACACACTATTATATATAATTTCTGTATATGCAAATACGTGTGTGTGTGTGTGTGTGTGAGTGAATTCAGCTATTTTTTATACAAGAAAACTTTAAAAGGTTCGTGGAAATATTCCAGTCTTTTCACTCCACATTTTCTAAGCTATCTGATATACCTTAGTATATAAATACATGTTCTTTTAAACCACAGATTACCAACTTATCTAATTATTTTCTGATGTCACAGTATCTCTGCTTTTACTATGACTATCCATAAAATAAAGCTCTAAAAAAAAATCTAACATTTTACCAAAAATAAAGGTTTTACCTAAATTAAAAACATTTCATTTTATGACATCCTTGAAATGACTACTAATCAGAATTTCATCTTCAATTACATGAGGTTCCACAAAGTTTTATTTTCAATAGAAGTCAATATTACTATTGCTTATGACATTAATGTAGTAATTTAAATAAAATCCTTACCTTCCAACCACTGCCAGCCTCTCTATAATATGGGAAGTTATCACAAATCCACTGGTAAATCTCACTTAGAGTCATTTTCTTTTTGGGTGAGCTATTAATTGCAAATGTAATGAGGCTGGCATAACTGTATGGAGGTTTCCCATCTTTGTGCTGTTGGACTTCCTCCTGGTCCAGCGTTGTATTTGGGTCAAGGAGCGCATTCTTCTTGGAAATCCCAGTTCCATGTGCATTCTGTGTAGCATCAGATTTTTGGATGGCTGCTCTCATGGTAAGCTGTGGTAGCCAGTCCATGGATGTTAGGCTGCTCTCCAGTTCAGATGTCATCCTAAAGGTAAATAGACTCCTTAGTCAATATCAAGAATATAACCCGCTTCTCAAAATACCCAATATTCACAAATCTAGGAGTTCCAAAGTGAGGGAAAGCCTGAGTTTAAATCTGAAGGGAAAAGATTGAGTATGTTAATGACCAAACCAATATAATGGGATCAACATTTCCCATACTTTTTTCTTAATTTTTTTCCTCTCCAAAACATAACTAACTTGATTTTAAAATATTTTTAAGGTACAGAACCATATATATGCATAAACTGTCTCTGATCTTTCTAGACAAGATGGTCTGCCTCTTTAAATGGAACAGCAGGAATATTGGTATGAGAAACAATCTGCAGCCCAGCTTTTTACTCACCAACACCAACCGAAACTCAAACCCACTGCTGGTAACCTTAACAAAACAGAGTAGAATGGCCCCACAGGGTTTCCAAGTTTGTGAATCTTTATAGAAGGAGGCTGCTTCACCTTTAGCTGGGCTACAATCAGCCTTGCAGGTTAGCATTTGAGAGCTTTAACTTCCTCGCCACGAATACAACAGGCCTTTTAAAACATTCAGTCAGTACATCTGGCATTCATTTATACAAAATTTAGGGGATTCAAATAAACAAAAGAATACCAAAAGTCAGGTGCAAAGGATGAGAAAAGTAATGAAGAAATGGGCGGAGGAATTTGCATAGAAGAAAGAAGGTAAAGTTGAGCAGGTGGGGGGTAGGAAGAACAAAGCAGGATAGACAATAGCAAACAGACAAGCTAACTGGGGGAAGTGACCACCAAGAGGACTGCAAAGTCAAGGACACTGATGGACAAGAGGAAAAGAGAATAGGCAGCACCAGGCAATGATTTTTATAAGTAAATATAAATCAAGAAACAAGCTTATGAAAACTAATTAAAGACACGGGTAATATGGGGTCAAATCACGTAACTGAACAAAAACAGAAGCATTAAAAGCTTGAGAACTGGGGTGAATAAGCAAATGTGGTGAAGAAAGCTGATGGTGCCCGGCTATTAAAAGATATAGCGTCTGGGGTCTTAAAAGCTTGAAGGTAAACAAGCGGCCATCTAGCTCAGAAGCAACAAAGCCCACATGGAACAACATATCAACCTGTGTGATCACGGGGTGTCGAACGGATCACTGAAGAAAAATGGGTGCATAAGCAAATGGGGCGAAGAAAGCTGATGGTGCCCGGCTATCAAAAAGTATAGCGTCTGGGGTCTTAAAGGCTTGAAGGTAATCAAGCGGCCATCAAGCTCAGAAGCAACAAAGCCCACATGGAAGAAGCACACCAGCCTATGCAACCACGAGGTGTCGAAGGGATCAGTTGTAAGGCATCATCAGAACAAAAAATCTTACCATAGTGAATGATGGGGGGAGTGCGGAGTGTAGATCCAAAGCCCATTAGTAGGCCACTGGAGATCCCCTTGCAGAGGGGTCTCGCGGAGGAGAGGAGCCAGTCAGGGTGCGATGTAACAATGATGAGAAATACAATCTTCCTCTAGTTCCTAAAGGTTTCCTCCCCGCTCCCACTACCATGACTCGAATTCTATCTTGCAAGACTGGCTAGACCAGAGGAGGTACACTGGTACAGATAGGAACTGAAAATACAGGGAATCCAGGACGGATGAGCCCTGTAGGACCAGTGGTATGAGTGGCAAAACAGGGAGGGTAAAGGGAGAATGGGTAGGAAAGAGGGAACCGATTACATGGAACTGTGTGTGACCTCCTCCCTGGGGGACAGACAACCAAAAAGTGGATGAAGGGAGACGTCGGACAGGGCAAGACATGACAAAATACCCATTTATAAACTATCAAGGGCTCATGAGGGAGGGGGGAGCGGGGAGGGAGGGGAAAAATGAGGACCTAATGTCGGGGGTTTCAATGGAGAGAAAATGTTTTGAGAAACGATGTACAAATGCGCTTTACACAATTGATGTGTGTATGGATTGGGATAACAGTTGTATGAGCCCCTAATAAAATGCTTTTAAAAAATAAATAAATACTTAAATAAATGCTGCCCTTTTGGGGGGGGGGGGAAAAAAAAAGCTTGAGAACTGATTTGGGGCAACTTCTACTCTTCTGGGTTCTGTACTATATTTCTCTCCAAAGCTGAGAAATTAAATCATTACTACCCAAATAAAGAAAAGCATAATCTTCCCGATTAACATGTATTCCGAAGGGGAAAAGTTCTAAGAAATGCAGTTAAGAATATAAAAACAAAGCTTTACACTCCCACTAACTGCTACCCAAGGCAGGCCTCTCTATCCTGAGAATAGAAGCAGTAGTAGTGAACCTAACAAAGTAGAAAACACGGAAATTTCGGAGTTCAAAATAAAATTAAGAAAGAAATCAACATAAGAAACTTAAATACCTCAGTTCAAAGAAAAACAAAATTCTGTCCAAAGAAACTCCATACCGGTCCCTCGTCCTAAATAGCAGTTGCCAAAAAGCAAACCTGTAGTTAGGATGTGAACTTCTGGAGACAGTGCAGAAGCAGAATTGATACAGACCCTCAGGCCAATCACAGAGTTCAAGTCATGATTTTACCATAGAACTCTTCTAGCTGTGGGACCATGAAAATGTGCGTGCGTATGTTTATATGCCAGCTTTCTCATCTATAAAATGAAAGAAGTGTAGTTAAAATACTACTTTGAAAATTAAATGTAGTAGCACATGCACAGAATTAAGCATTCGATAAATGTTAGTTATTATTACTTCAGGACTATCTTGGGAGGGTGTATTAATATGTACTACAACGCAAACCAGATTAAGCAACAGCATTTTGAGCACATAGAATCCTACTGTGCTGTTTTGTTTTCAGAAAACTTGGTCTATAGTTTTATGTTCCCTGTTTTTTCAAATTCCATATCTCTTTTGTATGAAATCCTCTGAAACTTTAACTTTTAATTCTTCTATAGCATCTTCAGAGATTAAAAACAAGATTATCCTCCCTCTACAGCCTCAGCCAGAGATACTTGTTCCCAGAATGAAGTACACTAGAAAGAACTGTGGCGTAAGGAAACAGGATAATTTGGAGATCACATGTTTAGAAGGGTGGAGAAGAAAGTACTAGAGAGATTACAAACATACTTTCAAGCCACAATTTTTTTAAAAAACAGAAGTCAACTGATGGTAAAAGCCTTGCCCAAATTCACACAGGTAATTAACTGTAAAAGCCGGAATCAAAAGTCCTAATACCTAATTCAGTAGCTTTTCCACCATATCTCATCTGTAAAATGAGAATAGAGCATATCTCACTAAGGTAAAGTTCTCAAAATACCCACTATTGGTGGTGGTAGTGGTGCTGGTAAAAGTGTTGATGCTATTGTTATTCACATTTCATTCAATCAAAGCAGGCTATTATTATGCTATGCTATTGTTATCGCCCTATCTAATAAGCCCTGGTGATATAGTAGATTATGAGATAGCCTGCTAATAAGCATAAGGTCACCAGTTCAAATCCACCAGCCACTCAGCAGAAGAAAGATGAGGCTTTCAGCTTATGTAAAGATGTAGAGTCTCAGAAACTCAAAAGGGGCAATTCTATTGTTCTGTAGTGACACTATGAGCCAGGATTGACTTAATGGCCGTGGGTTTTTGGGTTTGGTCGTCCTATTTGCCTCAATCAAGCCTCTACCGGTAAAGTAGCTTACTTTTGTTCAAATTCCCAAAGCAGCCAGTCACATGTATTTTCCAAATTTATATTTTAAAAAATAACCTAAAAAAGCACATCCCAAATTGGAATAGAATTGATACTGCAGATGTCCCTATTGAGTCATCTTTATCTTCTGTTCCTCCTTTCACAAGTGCCAGCTATTGAGACTTTATGATAGTTTCAGTAATGTGAATATATAAGTAGATATTTAATACATCCTGTAATGCTTCAATTACACAAATTTATAATTACACATATATGCAAGGCTATGCTTTGGTAAGATATACAAGGAGGCTTCAAAAGTTCATGGAAAAATGGATTTAAAGATTAATGGAATTTTCCCACAAACTTCTTGATGCCCTCTCACACATACACAATCACACCGAAAAGGAAACAAAACAAAAACCACTGCCATCCATTTGATTCTGACTCACAGCAACCTATATTAGATTTACAAGGCTGTTAATCTTTATGGGAGCAGATAGCCTCAACTGGTTCCGCTGGAGCAGCTGGTGGCTTTGAACAACTGATGTTGATGTTAGCAGACCAACACTTACCTGACAGTGCCACCAGGGCTCCTTAAAGGAAGTATCTTAAAATGTATGTCTCCTAGACACAAGAACACTAAATAAAAATGCAAGGCTGGACTCTGGCATGTTTTAAAGGGGAAGGGAAAGAAGGGCATGCACTGGAGCCTTGAGGAATAAAAGGAGAACTTCAGCTGAGTCTTGAAAGTTAAGATAGAAACAGGCTGGGAAGGAAAAGGTTCTGGTCTTCAAAGACATCATGAGCAAAAATTTGAAACCAGTCATAAAAACACTCCTCTTATTCTATTGTGGTGCTTATATACACCAGTTGTGCTAGAGCAGACTTAAGAGGTTTTTAACACTATGAAATATGTATCTTAAAAGTTAAACTATGAAAACGTAGCATTTCTGTTTTGTTTACAATTAATTCAATTATATATCCTTGATATCAAGGAAAGAGTACCTTGGTGCTTAGACTAGTGAATGCAGTGGTTCTCTATTAAGCGTTGAGAACACAAAAGACATTAGATTTAGCCAGATCCTCAGTAGCTTTAGAAAGAAACCTATTAGTGGAATTGTGATGACAGAAGTCTACTTGTATAAGAGAACAGATGGTAAATTTAAAAACAGCACAGGAGGCTCTGAGGAATCTGGTTATGGAAATCTGGTTAAGAAATGTCAGGCCCTCATTACCTAACTTCATTGCAAAAGCGTCCTAGCTGGTCTCTTGGACTCTGATTTCTTACCACTTCTCCAACCACCTCCAGCTCATGCATACCCTCTTCAAGAGAACTCTATAAGCATTGTTTCACAGAATC